TCTCTCTCTCTCTCTCTCTGTCTCATTGTGTCATACGGATTACTGTTAATTTATTATGCTGATCTGTTCTGTACGACATCTATTGCACGTCTGTCCGTCCTGGAAGAGGGATCCCTCCTCAGTTGCTCTTCCTGAGGTTTCTACCGTTTTTTTTCCCCGTTAAAGGGTTTTTTTGGGGAGTTTTTCCTGATCAGCTGTGAGGGTCATAAGGACAGAGGGATGTCGTATGCTGTAAAGCCCTGTGAGGCAAATTGTGATTTGTGATATTGGGCTTTATAAATAAAATTGATTGATTGAATTGATTGACTTACCTGAGCTCCTTCTCTTTGGATCAGTAACTCTCTCCCAACCCAGAGGGAACAATCCATCATTCTCCAGTAGAGAACCATGACCTCAGATTTGGAGACTTTCATCCCAACCACTTCACACTCAGCTGCAAACCACCCCAGGTCATGCTGGAGGTCATGGTGTGATGAAGCCAACAGAACCACATCATCTGTGAAAAGCAGAGATGCAATTCTGAGGTCCCTAAACCAGACCCTTTCCTCCCCATGGCTGCACCTCGAAATCCCGTCCATGGATATCACAAACAGCAGCAGAGACAAGGGACAACCCTGATGGAGGAACACCACCCACCGAGAACGTGTCTGACTTTATGCCAAGTATTCAGACACAGCTCTCACTTTGCTTTTACAAGGACTGGATGGCTCGTAGCAGTGACCCTGGTACCTGGTATTCCTGCAGTACCCCCAACAGGTCTCCCCAGTGGACATGGTCATAACTTTCTCCAAGTCCACAAAGCACATGTAGACCAGATGGGCTCCACTGTCCCACAACCAGGACGGACTCCACGCTGCTCCTCCTGAATCTGAGGTCCAACAGATTACTGGTAACTGGAGCACACCATGCGGTCCTGTTCTTTAAAAACAGGAACCTGCACCCCGGTCTGTCACTCCACAGTCACTGTACCAGACCACGAGACACTGTGTCAACCAAGAAAGCCCAACAGTGTCCAGAGCCTTCAGCTTCTCAGGGTGAATCTCATCCACACATGGAGCCTTGTGCTGAGGTGCTTTCTGACTACCTCAGAGACCTCTGTCAGGGATATGGACGAGAGTTCCCCCGACTCTTTAGACTCTGCCTCCTCCATGAAGGACATGATAGCCGAGTTCAGGAGTTCCTCAAAGTGCTCTTCCCACTGCTCAACAGTATCCCCAGTCTGGGTCAGCAGTTCTTCTCTGCTGAACACAGCCTGAGACAGGCCCTACTTTCCCATCCTGAGGCTCTGTCGTCTCTCTGAACTCCTCTCACATCCAGGTTTTGTTTTGGCGACCACCACAGCTGCAGCCCATCTGGCTACCCAGTACCTGGGCCAGCCAGACCTGAAAGGCCTCTTTCTTCAGTCTCATGGTCTCCCTCACTGCTGGTGTCCACCAGCAGGTTCTCAGGTTGCCACCATGACAGGCATTGACAACCTTCTGACCACAACTTTTAGCAGCCGCCTCCACAATGGAGGCTTTGAACATGGACCACTCAGACTCCATGTCCCCAACCCCCCGGGATGCATGAGAAGCTCTTCCAGAGGTGGGAGTTGAAGACCTCGCAGACAGGGGCCTCAGCCAGATGTTTAATCAGCTCAAAATCAGAATGGTTGTGTTTTTGTTATCTCAGAATGAGCTCTTTATATCTACATAGAGAGCAGGTCCTCGTCTACAGAGATCACCATGTTGCACCGCCATGTTTCTACAGTAGCCCAGAGCGGACAAACCAAACACTGACTCTATATGGGGACATTCATGTGTTCATAATCAGCAGCGACAGAGAAACGCTGGTTTATAACCAGCTGCTCTGTTTGTTCTGAGAGGAAGAGACCTCTGTGGATAATTCAGCTCCTCAACAATCAACACTGAAGGAATTCTGTCCAGGAGAAGTTTCAGATGGTTGTAATCTGTAATCTGTAATCTGTAATCCTCACTGACAGATGCCACTGAATCTGACACACTGGAGCTTTAAAACAGGAAGTTTGAGCTTCAGAATAAAACTGACAGAAATCTAACTTTTAAAATAAAATCAAAATCAAACAAAGTTATTTCATCCAGAACAGATGAGAGTGTGAAACAACTGGGACCAGTGAAACCAGTGGAACCAGTACCTGTGACAGTGACAGAGCTGGTGACCAGCTGGGACCCGTATTGGTTGGAGGCTTCACACTGGTAGTGGGCGGAGTCTTCCAGATGGGCGGAGGAGAGGCTGAAGGAGAGCGAGGAGGAGGAGGCGGTGTCAGTCCTCTGAAGCTCCGCCCCATCCCTCCTCAGTACCAGTGTAGGGGGCGGAGCTCCGTCTGAGTGGCAGGTAAAGGTCACCTGCTGACCCTCCATGACCTGCTCACCTGGACTCACCAAGAGGGAGGTGTTGGTGGGCAGAGCTATGGGAGGAGCCGACAGGTGTGTCATTGTGGAGCTCAGCAGCTACAGAGAGAGTGAATGAAATAGGGGCTTCACACTCACCGTGAACAGTGACCTGCAGCCCGGCGGTCTGGTTCCCCTCGCTGTTCCACGCCTCACAGTCGTACCATCCAGCATCAGACAGAGTCACCGCCCACATGACTAGCATATGACCTCCACGTCTCCACTCAGATTGGCTGTCTGCAGCTCTGAAGCTCCAGGTGATCATCGGCTCCGGGTTTCCTTTCGCAGAGCAGCTGAGTGTGAGCGGAGAGCCGGCCATCACCAACACGGAGTCTGATATCGCCGTGACAATGGGAGCATCTGAGGAGGAGGAACAGGAAGAGGAGGAGGAAGAGAGGGAAGAGGATGCATCAGACTAATGAAGATGGCTCAGAACATTTAATTGGCCTAAAAGGTTCTGCACTAAGCTGGTTTAAATCTTATTTATCTGATCGTTTTCAGTTTATTCACGTTCATAATGAGTCATCCTTACGTACTAAAGTTTGTTTTGGAGTTCCGCAAGGTTCTGTGCTCGGACCAATCCTATTTACTCTATATATGCTTCCTTTAGGTAACATCATTAGAAATCACTCTGTAAATTTCCATTGTTATGTGGATGAAACACAGTTGTATTTATCGATGAAGCCTGAAGAAAGTAATCAATTAACTAAACTCCATAACTGCCTTAAAGACATAAAAACCTGGATGAGCACCAATTTCCTGATGTTAAATTCAGACAAAACTGAAGTTATTGTTCTTGGCCCCAAACAACTCAGAGACTCTTTATCTGATGACATAGTTTCTCCAGATGGCATTGCTCTGGCCTCTAGCACTACCGTAAGAAACCTCGGAGTAATATTTGATCAAGATTTGTCTTTTAATTCTCATTTAAAGCAAACCTCACGGACTGCATTTTTTCATCTGCGTAATATTGCGAAAATTAGGCCTATCCTGACCCGAAAAGATGCAGAAAAATTGGTCCACGCTTTTGTTACCTCAAGGCTGGATTACTGTAACTCTCTATTATCAGGTAGCTCTAGTAAGTCCTTAAAAACTCTCCAGCTAATTCAGAATGCAGCAGCACGTGTACTAACAGGAACTAAGAAAC